ATAGTGCCAGGCACTATCCTAAAACATTGACAAATGTTACCTTATTTCTTTTTCATAGCCATCTTATGAGACAGAATTCATAATTCTTATTTTGTTGACAAGGGAACAGCCTCAGAAAGATCAAGTTGCTGGCTCAAGCTCTCACAGTTATTAAGTGGCTTAACCTGCCTTCGAACTCAGGTCTGCCTAACTCTAAAACGCAAGCTTTTCACATCACCAATTTGGTGCAAATGGTTAAAGGATTCAGCTACTAAACAAAGGTTGGAGGTCTGAGTCTACCCAGAGGTGCCCTGGAAGAAAAGCCTGGTGATCTACTTCTAAAAAATCGGCCATTGGAAAGCCTACGCGTCAGAGTTCTACTCTGACACACATGGGGTTGCCATGAGCCGGGATCGACTCAACAGCAACCAGAATGGCCTTCCACAGCAGCAACTGACTTCACTGGGTACGTTTTTTCCAATGAGTGCTCGGAATTAAAAAAAGGAGTGAGAATGTTATCGTAAGACATGATATAATTCAGCCCATTCTTTGCAAGGACTTATATTATCATTACGAATATGGGAAGACATTTTGTAACAGTAGCGGAAACAACAGAATTAACCCAAAGAAATCTTGTTCTGCTCAAATGAAAGTGCAGTGCTGCTTCCACCTGCAGGCCAAAGTGACAACTGCAGTCTTTCCAGTTCCACACTTACCTCCTTCCATGGACAGCTGCCGGGGTGGTAGACTGAGGGTGCCACTCACCCATCACCAGGTGGCTGTAAAGCCTCAGCCAGGAGTAGTGCAAATACTGGGCGAGTGGGAACACTGTAGAATGCGTTGACCACGATGTTTGTCTTAGGGATCCTGCCGAACAAACAGCTCTGCCCCTGCAAAGATTATTGGGCCATTTCTGTTAGCCTTGTATCCACCTAAGAGACCCTGGGTGTTTCAGAAAAAGCCCGATATTACATCCTCTTCTGTAAAATGTGGGGTCTGTGAGCACTAAGTTACATTCAATATATATTTGCTGAGTGTCTACTGTATGCCAGGAAGAATTTCCAGCACTTGGGATACGTTGGTGAACAAAACAAAGATGTCTGCCCTCGCGGAGCTTAGATGAGGTAATGCATTGGAAAATGCTTTATAAACTCTACTAAGCCATACACATGCAGCCGTGGTGGTGCAGTGGTTAAGCATTCAGCTGCTAACCAAAAGGTCGGCAGTTCTAATCCACCAGCTGCTCCTTGGAAACTCTATGGGGTGATTCGACTCTGTCCGGTAGGGTGGCTATGAGTCGGAATCAACTCAATAGCAACGAGTAAGCCATACACATAGTGATAATTGTCCTTCGTGTTCTTAAAAATTGGGAAACTTTTCATATTTCTAACTAATGTGGCTACGGACTATTATTTGTAGTGGTACTGCAACTTAAGGTTTTATTCAGAGTTTCCTGAACGAAGCTCGTCTCTTCTCAGGTGCCCCGCTCAGGTCCACTCCCTGCAGAGGAGACTTCTCAAGGACAGAGGCCATGTCTTCCCTGTTTTATTTTTCTCTGTATCCCCAGGGGTCACAGCTTAGGGGTGGATCCAGAGAAGCCTCTGCAACAATGTATGCTGAATTGCATGGAATGAAACTGGAATCAAGTTGATATATTGGAGTCTAGCACATGGGAAGAAAGCAGAACAAATCTGTCTATATGGCCTCATGAGTGATGTATTCTGCATACCATCCTCCCGATTTACAGTTCCCTGCACACTTATCCCTTCCTTGGAGCCCTGGGGGTGTAGTGGTTAAGAGTTCTCCTGCTAACCAAAAGGTTGGCAGTTCAAATCCACCAGCTGCTCCTAGGAAACCCTATGGGGAAGTTCTACTCTGTCCTATAGGGTCACTATGAGTTGGAATCGACTCAATGGCAATGCTTTTTTTTTTTTTTTTTTGGTTTGGAAGTGTGCTCAAGTCTCACCTGTACAGTCCTTCCTACTGTTTTAATCTCCACGACTCTCTTTCCTCTGATTTTCTAGACCTCATCCATAGAAATTAACATTAAGCATAATTGTCTTATGTTATTCTCTAAAAAGGAGCAGTGGTGGTGCAGTGGTTAAGCACTTGGCTGCTAACTGAAAGGTTGGCTGTTCAAACCTACCATCCGTCCACTAGAGAAAGACGTGGCAATCTGTTCCTATAAAGATTTCAGCCTTGGAAACCCTGTGGGGCAGTTCTACCCTATCCTATAGGGTCGCTATGAGTCGGAATTCACTCAACGGCAATGGGTTATTCTCTAAAAACTTCAAACTTCTCAAATTCAGGAACAGTTTTATAGTTACCTGAATAATCTCTCTCCTCCTCTAAGCTCACACAATGTTCAGTACAGTATTGGGAGCAAAATAAGTTACATTCTAGATCTTTCTTGGGGAAGAATCTCTGATTCCCAGAGATATTTGTGTGCATGTGTGTGCTTGTGTTTGGGCGTGCAAACATGTGCTCAGTATTATTTCCTTGCTTAAGTTTTCTTTCCATCAGGTTTTTTTTTTTTTATTGTACTTCAGGTGAAGGCTTACAGAACAAATAGTTTCTCATGAAACAGTAGTACA